TCCACATCATTTCATGCGAGTCTTTCCATATTTTTAAAAACCAACTTGTTTGTCATTTCATACAGCACAATAGTATTCCATCACAGTCATGTATCACAGCTTATTTAGCTGTTCCTCAATTCATGGGCATCCCCTCAATTTCCCATTCTTTGTGACCGCAAAGAGAGCTGCTATAAATATTTGAGAATCCACAGGTTCTCTTCTTCTTTTCCTGATCACCTTGGGAAGCAGACTGCATAGTGATATTGCTGGGCCGAGGGTATATACAGTTTTAGAACTCTTTGGGCATGGTCTTATATTGCTCTCCAGAATGGTTGGATGAGTTCACAATTCTATCAACAGTGTATTAGTGTACCAATTTTTCTACATTCCCTCCAGCATTTGTCATTTTCACCTTCTATAATTTTAGTCAGTCTGATAGGTATGAGACAGTACCTCAGAGTTGTTTTAATTTGCATTTTCTCTCATGTCTCAATAAAACTTTAATAAAGGTAATGGAGACACAGAGTTCTGAGCTTTTTCAGTTTATTAGCAGAGAGTGAACCTGTTAACAGAGTGGGTCAAATGGATACCTTCATTAGGCCAATGACCCAGAGGAAGACACGAAGCTGTTTTCTGTAAGCATAGAACAAAGAACAGAACTGGGTAAGCAAAGAAAACACTACAGTTAATTATATGGTTGGCAGCATCATGGAGGTAGAGATGACATGATTGGTTACATTAAGAATGAGCCAGCATCCACATGGGGCTAACAGCCACACCTCTCTGCTGTAGAAGAATGCTTGATTGCTTTATGGGGCCCTCTTCAACCTGTGGTTATTGATAGTGGACAAGGGATAGCAGACTGCCTGGCTCCTAGGAGGAAGATAAGGCCCTCCTCAATTGTATGAAGACAGGCATGGATGGACAATATGTCTTGTGTAAATATGCCAGGTCAGCTTATTAGGCTTTCAAAGATAGCAAACAGATGTACTGGTTTAGGAGCTGAAGGTATTAGGGATAACAAGTTTTCTTTTAAACTTAGCTCATAGGCAAATAGTCAAAGAAATGTGGCTTGAGTAATTGTACAAAATGAGGTGATAATACAGAATAAGATCAGTTACAGAATAGAATAAATTATAAAATAATACAGAATCAATTTAATTTCTTTACTAATCAATAATGATTTAGAGCGTATTTTTTTGTATGACTATATATATCTATATCTTTGATTTCTTCTTCCCCAAACTGCCTGTTCATATCTTTTGCCACTTACCAATTGGGGAATGACTCATATTTGTATAAATTTGACTCAGTTCTCTATGTATTTGAGATATGAGGCCTTTATCTTAGAAATTGGCTATAAAGTTTTCCCTCCAATGTTCTGCTTTCCTTCTAATCTTGGCTACATTGGTTTTACTTGTACAAAACCTTTTTAATTTAATGTATTCAAAATTATCCATTTTACATCTCACAATGCTATCTATATCTTCTTTATTCAGAAATTCTTTTCTTATCCCTAAATCTGATATGTACCATGTTCCATGCTCCTCTGATTTACTTATGATATCTCCTTTTATGTCTAGGTTATGTATCCATTTTGACTTTAGAGTTGATGGTGTAAGATACTGGTCTATACCTAGTTTTTGCCAGACTACTTTCTAGTTTTTCTAGCAATTTTTACCAAATAGTGAGTTCTTCTTCTAAAAGCTTAGATCTTTGTGTTTATCAGACATAAAGTTACTATAATCATTTACTACTCTGTAAAGAAAAAAGTTCTCATGCTGCCTACTCTCTACCCCATCCTCCCCTTCACCATAAATTCACTCTTGTTAAGATTGAGCATGTGCTCTGTACACATCCTCGAATGGGGCTCTCCCCGCACCCTACTAGGATTTTCATTTTACAGATGAGGGAACTGAGGCTCAGGAAGGCTCAGGAGTTTGCTCAGGTACTCAGCTAGTAGTATTGGAGCCAGAACACAAACTGAGGTCTTTGGATGCCACAGCCAAATGAAAATAGTGAAGCAGAACGGGATGACCTACGACTGAGAGGGACCACAGAGAGTGAGAAGAGCTTTGGTTTTCAAACCAGTGGACCTGGATCCAAGTCCCGGTGCCACCACTTACTGCCTGTGAGATCTTAGCCAAGTCACTTCATCTCTACGGCCTTAGTTTCCTCATCTGTAAAAGGGTCTGGGCCAGATGGCCCGGGCTGTAAGACATTGTGCAATGAGTATAGCAATTGGTAATTCCCCACTCTCGTGAGAGGAAGACACATGTTTCATTCTCTGTTTTCTGGAACCAGGAATGTTCCTTGTGATAATGTGGAGTCTAGCTGCTCCTTCACTCTTCCCCTCTCTACACTCACTTGCCCAGTGCCTTCAGCAGCTCTTCATGTGCCGTGATCTCAAGGCCCTTCTTGGGATGTGCTCTAGGTGGTCAGGGTCCTTCCTAGAATGTGGCGCCCTGAACTGGGATGGGGTCTTTCTGATGGCGTCCAGCCAGGGTAGGGGACAAGCAGCTCTCTTCCTTGCGTCCTTCAAGGCGCTGTCCCTCTTTTCATCCACTGTAAGGTCATAGGATGTGTTTGGCCCTGGGCTCATCCATTGGAGTCCCTGAGTTTGCAGTCCACCGAACCCCTATCCCACTATCAGTGGTCTAGCCTTGTCCCTCCAACACATGAAGGTCATGTTGTGGACTCCTATATGAGACTTGATACGAGTTCCCATTCCATGGCCTCTGACTAGATATTTCATTCTGTATGTTCTTTGGGCTGACCTTTTCCTATAATGTAGTGAAAAAAGCCTGCCCAGCCTTAGCTCCCTATGAGCTTTCTTACTCCTCATAATTGTCCTTAGTGGATGGTGTCATGCTTTTGTCTTCAGCCTTTACCTCCTGTCTTTGCTTGCACTCTCTATCCCACCTTTGTAGAGTACCAGGTAGTCCTTTGCACCACATCTTCCACGCTGCCATTATTTCTTTTTAGTGTCTTTGGAATCTTATTCTGGTTAGCTTCCCCTTCTCCGCGGCTGATTTCCCTCTGGAATGCAAGGCCCTGGGTCCTGCCTTCCTTTTCTGCATCCTTTGAATCTGCTCTTCCCAAACCTGAGGGGTACATCACACTGGACCTGGCTGCTACTTCTCCTTTGCTGTCACAAATTCTAAGAGTTGCCATTTCCCCACAAGGTTCCCACGATTTCCCTTGCTGCTGTTTCCCAACTTTGATGACAGGCCATCGTGGTGCAGTGAAGACAGCACTGGGCCTGGGGTCAGGAAGACATGGATTCAGATCCTGTCTTTGACATTTACTGCCTGTGTGACTCAGAGACCTTTTCAGCCACATCTGTAAAATTGGAATATTGATAGCACCCATCTCCCAGGAGTGTGGTGATGCTCAAATGGGATGGTGTATGGAAGGTACTTGACAAATTTTTGAGTGTAGCCAAGTGAAAATTTATCTTCCACCTTTTGAAGGATGATGATGATTAGAACTTGCATTTATATGGTGCTTTAATTTTTGTAAAGTTCTTTACCAATATTGTCTTGAGGATTGTTGACGAGCCCAGAGGTTTTTTTTTAAGCTGTGCAACTTTTTGCCAATATTGGCAGCTGGATGGTGCAGTGGATACAGTGTTGGGTGTGGAGACAGGAAGACTCATCTTCGTGAGTTCAAATCTGGCCTCAGATTATTAGCTGTGTGCCCTGGGCAAGTCACTTAACCCTGTTTGCCTCAGTTCCTCATTTGTAAAATGGGCTGGAGAAGGAAATGGCAAGCCAGTCCAGAATCTTTGCCAAGAAAACCTCAAATGGGGTCACAATGAGTCAGATGGGACTGAAACGACACAACACCAACGTTGACATCTTTTGCCAAATGTCAAGGTAGTTGTCACCCCACCCTCCTTCTGATGTCACACACGCTTCTGAGTGCCAGGCCCCCATCCAGGTGGTTCAGAGGGCTCTTTTGTGGTGACGTTGGTTCTGTTCCTACCTCTGTGGCCCTTCATCTAAGGGCTGTCCATGCTGTCCTATTTCTGGATTTCTTCACATTGGTCTGTCCTCTTTAAAAAAATATTAAAAGTAAATTTTATTGCTAACTTTTGTTTCTGCATTACTTGCATTTCCCAGTTTCCCGTTTCCCTCTGCTCCCTTTTCCTCCCAGGGAGACTCCTCTTTTAAAGAAGAATTGTTTAAAGGGCAAAAAAGGTTCAGCAGAACTGACCAACACCCCACAAGAGCCACCACGATGTCCGTTGTTCTGCCCCTGCTGTCATCACTCTGGAAGGAAGAGGAGATGTTTTTTCTCCTGTCTTCTTTGGGGTCAGACTTGGTCCTTACAGTTTCGCAGCCTTCAGTGTTGATGGTGTTGTTATTATTCTTTCCGCTGACATTGGTGTAGTCATTGTGGATGTCGTTTTCTTGGCTCTGCTGACTTTTCTTGGTATCAGGCCGTGGAGATCTTTCCTTGCCTCTCTGTATTCACCACATTTATCATTTCTTACAGCAAAGCCATTTTCCACAGTTTGTCGAGCCTTTCCCCGATCAATGGGCAGCAGTTTTGTTTCCAGTGCTTTGCTATCTTCTGTAAAGACTTTGGTGCCCACGGGATATTTCTTCTTTTTACTGACCTCATGTGTAGTTTCTAATGTTGTCCAGCTGTTTCAGTCGTGTTCAGACTCTCTGTGACCCCATTTGGGTTTTCTTGGCAAAGACACTGGAGTGGTTCACCATTTCCTTCTCCAGCTCATTTTACAGGCAAGGCTTTAAAATAAAAGCAAAAACAACATATCATCTACCTTTTGCATAAATTGTGTGGACCCTGCTAGACTCATCCATCTCAGCAGTTACTCTCACTCAGGGGCTCAGTAGGGGTCTAGCCAGAAAAGCTAGTATTACGTTGGTCCGCTTTGAGGGGCTGGTGAGGCAGTGGGCCATAGTGGGTAGGGAGCATCCTGGAGCCCTGGCTATACTATAGCTTTGTGGCCCTGGAAAGTTTGCTAGGACTTCTCTGTTAGGCCAGACATGCCTTGGGCCTGCACCAAGGCCAGGGTGAGCTCCTCGTGAGGACAGAATCCCAGCCCATGCATCTTTATATGAAATGAGAGGCTTCTTGTCTGAGAGCAGAGGAGGAGAGAGTCCTACTTTGCCTTTTCCTGGGATGTAAGCTGTGTATGCAGAGTGCTTGGCTAAATCAAAAGCCTTGGGTAAATGTTAGCTTCCATGTGGCTTAGTGAATGGAGTCTAGAAGCGCTGAGTTCAAATAACTCATTATATTCATCTCTGTGATGGGCATAATAATACCTGCAGTACCTACTTCCCTGGTGGTGGGTGTGAGGCTCAGGGGAGGCTGTGTCTGTGAAGTGCCTTGTAGACCTTGAAGAGCCATGTGAACATCCACTTTTCTGGCTGGGTCTGTCACTGTATTGTTACTGTTGATATCCTGGTGCCATGGTTTAGAAGGACGTCGATGAGCTGGAGAGCACCCACTGGAAGGTGGGGTTCCCTTTGGGTCCTTTCACTTGAGCTTCAGCTGAAGGACTTGGCCATGTTTCACTGGAGATGAGCAGCGTTGGGGTTGTGGAGGGGGAAGCAGGAAGGAGAGCTTTCATCTAGCGGAGGAGACTCTTGTGGTTCGGCCCAGTGGGCAGGTCCAGGAGTGGGGGGAGTTGCAAAGAACCCAATAGAGGCCGGCCAATTGTCAGGAAGAGCTTCATCCTGGGCCTGAGCTGCCCTCTGGGCCAAGGCTGGGGCAGAGAGTAGGGGCACTCCTCGTGGACCCCTGCCCACTGTGGGGTTCTGAGAACAGTGAGGCTGCTGGCCGTGTGGAGGCCCTTGGGAGCCAGGCTTGAAGAATGTGTCCTTCAGCCCTAGCCCTCACACAGAACTCGGGCTTCACAACTGCCCAGAGTCCGGACTGGCATCGGGTGTTTTTGGCTTTTATTCTGGCCTTTCTTCACTCCTGTGGACCATCTGCCTAGAGCAGTCCGAAGGGGCCAGGCGGTCTGTCCCTTGATCACAGAGGCTGGTTGCTGCCTTTGACTACCCAGGACTGCTCAGCCTGCCTTCCTCGTGCTTGCTGGGTTTGAGTTTGGGAGTGCAAGGGTCACGTGGATGATGCCTTTGGGAGATGAGTTATCAGGGTCAATTTGAGCAATTAAGAAAGAAGACTACCCATGGGCTACAGAGTCTAGCTGAGATCGAGCCCTCAGTGCTAGACCTGCCTCCCATGTGTCCTTGCTGATCCTGTGTTTCCTCCATTATCTGTGGCTAAGCCGGAGTGTATCCACGTTTCAGAGATCTGTGACGTTCAAGGATGTCACTGTGGACTTTACTCAGGAGGAGTGGGGGCAGCTGGGCCCGCCGCAGAGGAACCTGTACCGGGACGTGATGTTGGAGAACTATCAGAACCTCGTGTCACTGGGTAAGGACAGTTTATATCCATTTCTTAGGCTGTCCTTGCTTACTTCCCGAAGGCTGTGAGGTGTCTGAAAGGCTTCCTTGAGTTTGCTCCACATGAAGATTCCAGAATATATGGGGTGTTGGGGATGAGGGAAGAGGGACAGTATTTCTAAATCGTTTGGGGCCCAGGGGCTAGAGTATTTCTGCCTCACATTCCTAGGAGAAAGGCCTTTGTGGTGCTGCCCCTCTCTTCTCAAGACTTTCCTCTCAATTCTTGGGATAGACGCCCAATAACATGCAGAATACATACCCTCTTATCACTGAAGGAGTTGGTTGACATTGTTTTTCCTTTGATAATCCCTCCCTCCTTCCTTGAAAAGGTAGTACAGAGCAGCCCTCGGGGGACTCTGGGTCACCCCAGGGATGTTCTCATCTATCTTGTTTTTTCCTTAAGATAAAAAGTCATAGGTTGCGATCAGAAGTAGTTCTGTGGCCTTAGCCCATTCTCATTTCTACCCCATAAACAGGCCTTTCAGCTTCCAAACCAGATGTGATCTCTCAGCTGGAGTAAGGAGAGACACCGTGGATACCTGAGGGAGAAGTCCTAAGAGGCCCCCATCCAGGTGAGTTTGTTAGCCCTGCTGATGAGCCCCCCTGCTAGCACCAGATCAGTGCTCAGGCAGAGGCCAGCCCTTGGGCCAGGTGAGCCAAATCATTCTTCTCCAAGGCTCCTGGGCCCAGGGGGAAGGCAAAGGGTGGCCTGACATGAGCATTCTCTTGTGTTCTCATCTCTTACATTGGCCGGTCATTTTCCTGATACCTGCCTTCTCTTCCCTCACATCCTGCAGTTATAGAGAAGATGACATCCCTTTTTTTGAGAAAAAATGTTTAAAAATATACTCTAAATTTTCAAAACATAAAACATCCATATAAGAAAATGAAAGGTGGTATAGAAATCAGGCATGCTTCCATAAACAATGTGGTTATTGCTGAGCAATATAGACATGAATGACAAAAATTGCATCCAGTGCAGGCTCCCAGGTGTGCAGAGCCGGTCAGCAGACCTTGGTACAAGCTGGTGCATTTGGCCAGAAGTTTGGTTTGCAAAGAAGGCTGGGCTGCCAGGGGCCCACTTTTTAGGAGGACTGAGCAGTGCCTTCCCTGGCAGCGCCAAGTGCTAATTCAGTAATGCCACCCTTGAACACGATGGCCTGAGAAAATCACCACTCCTTGAAAGAGGAGAAGCCGTCTGTCAACTCTCAGATTCTTTCCTCAGAAGCAGCACAAGTGGAGGTCAGGTGCAAACTTTTATCACTCTTGGGGACAGATTGTGAGCTTCTCAAGAAATCCTGGTCCCTTTCATTGGCAGGTATGGCTGCTAAAGACTTGCACCTTAGGGAGGCTTGGCCTCCATATTGTACTATTGAGGGTTAGCAGAATGGATGACCGCTGCCTACTTGAGGTGATCCATAATGGCACAAAGGATGTGGCCCAAAGAAACCTAAAAGCATTGCCCAAAATGGGAGTCTTTGACGAGAGGCTAAAGACCTAGGGACTCAAGTAAGGTTGTCATTACTCTAGCCCATGACAGCAAGGGATGTTGAAGAGAGAGGTTGAGAAGGGAATTGAAGATCAGGTTAAAAAAGTGAATGAATTTTGGATTTCTGTGTCATGATTTAGAACACAGGAAGGATAGGATCCCAGCCAGAGATGAAGTGCATCCAATGAAAGTTGGTATTTGCTTGCCATCTTGTAAATCTAATCAATAACATTGGGAGAAGGAAAAACCTGCCTACTGCTAACAAGCAGATCCCACAGAGAGAAGCTAGTGGGGGAGCTGACAGGTGACAAAATCCAAGGACGGAGCCAGTGATGAAACACACAGTATAGTTAGACCATAAAGAAGAAGGACTAGTGTTCCTGAGCATGAGAGTGAAAAATAACCTTGGTATCTCTGACATTGGTTGGATGAGATCCTTGATTAGAAGAGGCTTTGCATGGGTCACATTCCTTAGTTCAAAGAAATAGAGATAACAAAACTGGGGAGTGGGGGTGGTAGCATTTTATACCCATGGGAAAATCTGAGAACCAGCCAGGGAAATGCAGTAGAAAATATTGGGTCATGGCAGTTTTGATATCTGAGCATCTGAGAAGGCAGCCCAGAACAGTCGGTGGTCACTAAGTATTTATTAAGGATCATTCACTCAATTAATAAGCAATGATTAGGCACCTGTTCTGCTACTGTGCTGGATATTGGGAATACCAAGGCAGAAGTGAGATATTCGCTACTCTTATGTTAGAGCTTACATCCTGCTGGGGCAGAGAACATTCACAGCTACAGGTACGTACAAGTAAATACTAGCCATTTTTTGAGGGGAGGGGAGGAGGTATTAGCAGGTGGAGAAGATGAGGAAAGCCTGCAGAATGTGGCTTTTGAGCCAAAGCTTGAAGGAAGTGGGGGATGATAAGATGCTAAGGTGAGGATGGAGTACCTTCCAGGCATGGGGCAACCAGTACAAAGTCATGGAGGTGGGAGTCAGAGGATTGTGCATGAGGAACAAGATGCCACTTTGGATAAGAGTGTCACGTGGAATGAGGCTGCAAATCCAGCTTGGGGCCAGGTTGTGAAGAGCTTGAAATGCCAAGATGGGAAGTTTGTGTTTGATCCACAAGGCAATAAGGGAAGTGATGAGGTCAGACCTGTGCTTTAGGAAGATCACTTTGGCAGCTGAGTGGAGGACAGATTGGGGTGGGAGAGACTTGAGGGAAGGAGATCAACCAGCAGCTATTGCTGGAGCCCAGGGGGGAGGTGATGGGGGCCTGAGGTAGAGTGGTGCCTGGGTGAGAGGAGAGAGGAAGGGGCAGAAGTGAGGTAGAAAGGATGAGCTGTGGCCCTAGCTGTGAGGGAAAATCTGGCTTGGTGGCTGGAGGGTGGTGGCACCCTCTACAGTGGCAAGTAAGAGCATGATTCTCTTTTGTTGGCCGTGTTGAGTTTGAGATGTCTAATAGGCAGAGGGACTAGGACTGGAGAAATATAGATCTGAGAATTACCTGCACAGAGAAGGTAATTACAGCCATGGGAGAGGATGAGGTCATGAGGGTATGAGAAGAGGAGGGAAAGGAAGAGAAAGAGGGTCCAGGACAGTCTTGGTAGGTATGTACAGTTATGGGGCAAGATGTGGGTAATCCAGCAAAGTAAACTGAGGAGTGGCCTGATAGGAAGCAGAAGAACCAAGTGAGAACAGACTCAGAAAACCCAGAAGGGAGAGGATGCTGAACAGTGTTAGAAGCTTCAGAGTCCATGGAGGAGAAAGCTGTCACATTAGAGAATTAGAGCATTACAAGATGCAGCATGGAGCCTTATAGCCAGGAAAACTGGGCAAGTTACTAAGCATCTTCATGTTCTCGGTAGCACCTGAAGACTTCAGGCATGAAGAAGAGCTTTCCTTCATTGTTCAGGGGAGTTTCCACAACCTGGAGCATACCAGGGCAATCTCCATGCCTAGCTATTTAAAGAAGAGTGGGGTAGGGAAGGAGAGACAGGAAAGATTGGGAGAGAGGGGAAAAAGAGATGGAGGAAGGAAGGAGAGAGACCATTGGTACTTGGGAGAGAGAGCACTGTTAGTGCAGATCCAAGCTCTGGAGCCAGACTGCAGCCTTGATGGGTATCTGAAAGGGAGGGGCCTGATGTTAAGGAAGGAGAGACAAAGGAGGACAGCCTGAGGGAGCTGTAGGTCTCCTGATGATTTATTCCAGTGAGGGGAAAGAAGAATAGGGAAGGGAATGAAGTCAAAGACTTGTGAGAGATAAACAAAGGAAAAGTGGGACTGTCCATAACGAATGCCTTCTGTTTTCTCAGTGAAGTAGGAAGTGAGATTCTCAGTTGAGAGGGTAAGGAAAGGAGAGAAGGTTTGGTTTCTGAGAACAGTGATTCTGAGAATCACTTAGGAAGGTGTAAACAGAAACCCAGCTGTAGTGAGGGCCCAGTTGCCTAGAAGGTACAATGGATAAAGCACTAGACCTAGAATCAGGGAGATATGAATTCAAATCCGGCCTTACTTGTTAGCTGTGTGACCCTAGGCAAGTCACTTAACCTCAGTTTGTCTGAGTTTCCTCATCTGTAAAGTGGGGATAAAAGTAGCGCCTACCTTGCAGGGTGGCTGTGAGAATCAAATGAGATAGTATTTGTAAAAGTTTCTGGCATATAGTAGGTGCTATATAAATGCTTATTCTCTCTCCTCTCCAGTTGGGATTTAGATAACAAAAATTTGTAGCAGGCCCAGTAGCCATGATTTTGTGACCAGAGCCCTAGCATTGTTCAGCAGGAGCACACGAGTCAGAGAAGAAGGCAAATGGTGGGAGTAATCCAGAAAAAGAAAATAATTGGAGCATGCAGAAAATAAGAGTCAGGGTAGTGTCACTGGGAAATGTCCCTTATCCACATATCTGCTGAGACTCTTTCTTTACCAGAATCAACAACAGCCAATGACTTCTTTACCTGCCTTAGCGATCATTTCATCCTTCAACAGTTGGTGAACCAACGAGGGGACTTTCTGTCTCACCCTCATTCTTGCTAATGTGGAGGACTGGTCACTTGCACGGAAATGATGGGAATCCTGGGGGACATGACCCAGCATGCATGATAAAGGAGGGAAAATCCGGAAAGAGGCTGACCTATGCTTGGATTTTAGGAGAGCATTGTTACAAAGTATAGCTCTCTGTGAAGGGATAGAACTTTGGTGATGTGAAAACACAAGATAAAAATAGAAATATATTTTTAAAAAAATATTTTGAGGAGAGCAGATGTCCAGGATTTCAGAGAAAAGAGGAATTCACCAGGGGAGGTCAGGGATAGGAAATGCTCAAGAATGAAATTCTTAAGACTTAAAGGCAAACAGTTTTGAGGAGGAACAACACTGGGAGTTGCTGTTAGAGACCAAGATGAATATAATGGAACTCACCCCCATAGATTCTAGGAAAGAACCACACAGGAGATGCAAATGAGGGCTAGAAGATGAATCCGTGCAAGGACTGCCAGTAGGGCTAAAGCTCAGAATTAACCAAGGCTACTGAAGAGAGTCAAGGGCACAAAAAACAATTTTTAAAACTACAAGGGGAGAGAGAGATAAAAGAAGGGTGAGGGAGTAGGAAGGTGGAGCCAGGATGGTGGAGTAAAGACAGGGACTTGCCCGGCTCTCCCCCAAAGCCTTCCAAATACCTTTTAAAAAAATGATTGTAAACAAATTCTAGAGCAGTAGAAAAAGATGGCGTGAAATGGATTTCCAGCCCAAGTCAACTTGGAAGGTCAGCAGGAAAGGCCTGTTGCACCTGGGTGAGATTGGAGTGTAATCCAGTGCAGGTATAGCCCTGGCCCCAGCAAACCAGGAGCAGGCCTTGGGAGTGACTGAATTAGCAGTGGCAACAGCAATGGCTGCTTCCAGAGCTCTCAGCCCACAAATAGTAAGGGGTGTGTATAACTGGTCAGAAGGAGATTACAGGGGTCTTTTTGCCAGCACTGAGGCAGGACTCTGTTGCTTTGCCGGTATGTGGATCTGGGTCCCAGTCCTGGGTGGCAGTTAGAAGGTGAGGAAGAGCACTGGCGCACCAGAGCTTGTGGGCACAGTGGAGGGGGCAGTTCCAGGGCAGGAAAGACTGAAACTTGGGACAGCGCACCCTCCATTCTGGAAGCAGAGCTCTATTTT